AGGGGAGGCCGGGGCAGGTGGGGGTGTGAGGTACCGGGGTGCGGGAAGGGGCACAGGCCCAGGCAAGCGGCTCTGCTCCGGCCCTCTGCCGCCGTGCCCCACCGTCAGGTTTGGGGGTTTGGATCGGAAGGAACATCGTTGAGATTCGGGAGGAGGAGAAGCAGAAGGAGGAGGTGGAGGTGGTGTTTCTCTGCTTTCCTGCCCTCAAACACGAGTCTCGCCATGGAGTTGGCCCAGTGCACGTGTCTAGGAGCATTAATAAATATTAATAAACCCCCGTGGTTCATGATAAAATCATTTTCCATCGGCAGTCTGATGGAAATACAGATAATTGCTAATAATAAAATCAGCCTGGAATAGTTTTGTCAAGGGCGCGCTATGCTTCTGACAAATATTTTGGTTCTGATATTGCAGTCTTCTAAAGGGATGGTTATCAGAAAATACATTACCCGTACTGGTCTCCTCTCTAGATCTCCCTTTTCAACCATTTAATTTTCCCAGAGCCCTTGGATTCAGCCACTACTTTATTTTTCAGGGAGCATTTCCCTGTTTCACATTGTGCACTGCAATTCTTTGGAGAGGAAAACCAAAGCAGCTCTCAAAATACCTGACCGTGCCATTTGGTTCGTTTAACCTTAACTTGCACGGTTGTTAAACATAAGATTGTCTCTCAGTTTTGGGACTGAGCAGTTTGTCTTGAGGAAGCATTATAAAAGTGAACTTGGATTCTGAGCTGGTTTTGAGACTTCCAATAAATCACTATCTGTGGTGTAACGGTAAAATTAATTCGGTAAGCAGGTGGCTGAAGAGCTTGATCCTGCATAATCTTACGTATGCAATTAAGTCTCTGTGCGTGGATGTATACTACCAGTGGGACAAACTCTGCAAAGCTAAGCACTTCTGGATGTGATTGTCGAGGCTGATATAATGCAGAAGGAGAAAAAAAAAAAATCAAACTGAGAAATCTTTAAATGAAGACCATGGTGGAAATGCGGAGTTCTTTGTTGTGTGTAAAGTCTCACGTAGCAGTAGAGAATGGGAAGGGGTTGGGAGGGAAACACAAGCTGTCTAAAATCTGGATTGTAACATTTTTGGACCTGTATCTAGATCTGGGGGGCATAAGACCAGATTTGGCTGAATCTTGAGGGGTGGTGTGGATTTGGGTGCTATTTCATGCTCTTTTTCTCATTTATTTGGGTTGAATTTGGAAGAACAAAGTAGAGGTGATGAACTCCAGACCTGATTCAGAATCCAGTGGAAATGTCAGACTCCTATGAGTTCAAATGTGCTTTGGTCCAGGCAAATCCAGTTGCAAATTTCCCCTTAGATTTTAAGCTAGCGTGTGATATTAATACGGGAAGAATGCACTGCAGTATTTCTTGGCTTCAGTTGGAATTCAGAGCTTTAACCTGCAAAGTGTTGACTGTTTTGGAGCTGCTAGCGTGAGACATCATCTCTTTCCTGTCACTTTGCCATCCATGAGATCACCAGAGACGCTGGGAGCTGGCGAGCGCTTGGTGTGAACCCGATGTCTGCTGAGAACCTGCCTCTGTGAGAGCCTTGGCAGTTGGAATCAACCCTCATCTTCACCTCTTTGTGCCCGTCTGGAAATGATCACACTTCTAAGATATAGTTAGTGCAAACACTCGGATTCTTGTATCCCTAATCTAAAATTCTAGCAGAGGTGCAGGCCCGGCAATGTCACCTGTGCAAATAGCTGCACAGCATATATGAACTGCCTTTTTCTTTTTAAAGTCACTTTACTTGAATCTGGTAAAAAGAATCCATTGACTCCCAGGAATCCATTTACCACAGCGTGACAGCCAGAGATATAGATTATTTTAGATGCTTTTAAAGAAGAAAAAAGGAAGATTTTCCAGTTAGCTCGTAGATGTCAGGGTCGTGATCCTATTCATGATTTTTAAAAAAAGCAAGAAAGTGTTTTCCTGCTCAAAGTGGTGATATTTCATTGCCTTTTTTAATTACAGATAGTTTAAAAGCTACCAAAAAAAAGTTTAGATCTTATTTCTTCCTTCATTTCTTTCTATTTACTCGGATTTATAGCTTCAGTTGTCAAAGTTCTGGTCTGGTGGGAACTTAATTTCACTTGCGTGTTTTACATTTGCGAATAAAACAACTGAATTCCTCACTTGTATTCTCACTTCTGCATCTTTCACGTTTTGTTTAAACTCTTCTGGCAGCAGGCAAAATGTAATGTTGCTCCTTAATAATGAAGACTTTCTGAATTTAAACAAAAGCCTTTGCGATGCTTTTAATTTAATATTTGGGGGTTAGTAGCTTTTTAATATTTAAATATCATTTAAAACAGGTTTTTTGTCGATGTATGTAAATACACTCCTTGGGAGCTGTTAATCCAGACGGTTGCAGGCCTGTGTTAACGTATTGTGAGCAGAGGTAGAAAATGGAATTATTAATCTGCCTTCTTTCCACTTTGCAGCATGCAGAAAGGAAGCATAAGGTATAAATGGCTTAGAAAATGACTGGGTGTGTTTCTAGTGCGGTGCGTGGCCGACCAATTGATATTTTTCATCTTAATCGACCAAAACTTGAATTTAAAAGCTGAAGTTTGGCCACCTGAGCGTTGCTGTGCTGCCAGATGCTACCAGAGATGCAAGCATCTTGTATTCCAGAAGCAAAATCTCTTATTCTTGCAATCCCTCCTCAAAGAAGAGAAACCCTCGTGTGGAGGCGGCCTATGCTCTATTCAGACACTTACGTTTCTAATCCCACATTTTGAAGCTGGCATTTTTATTCACTTCTCTTCTTATTCAAAGCTTCATCGGCTCCTGTGCCTCGTTAAATGTTTGCCGCTCTCCATACAAGAGGTGACTGCATCTCAATGATGCTGAAGTGCCCCTGCACATAACCTGCTCACTGCCTCATTAAACTTGCAAAGCATTTGGGATTTCTCAGTACACAAACCCTTCCTTTCAGGTACTTGTCCATTCCCCTGTGTTTCCTGTTTGCGTTTAGCAAGACAAAAAGCAGGTGAGAGTGTGCCCCAGAGCTGCAGCCCTGCACACGTCCATCCAGCTTCCTCTGCACATCTGTGCCAAGCAGCCACAGAAGGTGTGGGCTGCCCCTTCGCTGGTTGTTTAGGCTGCTTTCTTAAGGAAATAAAACTTGTGTTCCTGCAGGAGTCCTCCCTTTCCACCCCATGTAATTTATAAATTCGCTAGCCAATTTCAGCCAAGTTTTGCAGTTAGAGTTTTAGACATACTGCTTGCTTAGGATTTTTGTGAAAATAGATGGTTGTTAGAAAAAAAGAGATTCTCTGTGTGTCCTAAATTGGATAGAGGAGCTATGGCATGTTGTCAGTCCTTGTGAACAGAAAACCTTGTCTGAAGAAAATCTGCCCCTTAATACCCTTCAACACACACATTATACTTCATATACATTAATATACTTAATATCCATTAATACTGTTCAGCACACAAAGCTGTGAGACACAGATTCGTAGGAAATCAGGTTTTGTGCTGGTCTGTATGAAATTATGTGATTAAAAATTGGGGGAAAAATGCACATTTCATGAGGATTTACTCTGTTGGTAAAGGTAATGAGTAACTCATCTTCATATTCTTCTTCCAGTACTGCCTGTCAGGACATCCAACCTTACCATGCAACGTGCTCAAGTTCAAATCCACCACCATCATGTTGGACTGCGGACTGGACATGACGTCTACCCTCAATTTCCTCCCGTTGCCGCTGGTTCAGAGGTACGTTCTGCGGCCTGTGAGCACTTAGTCGTGTCTTCTTGGGTTGCACTCGGAGTGCTCTGCGTGAAATGGTGTATTGGAAGGAGGGAGGGGATGAGTACAAATGACCAGCATCACCTGATATCATAAATAGACTTTGTTCACTTAAAAATTCTCTTTATCAAAATAACGTCCTTTGGCTCAGTAGACGGAAGACATTTTATGGATTTATTGATTGCTTTTTCTAGATAATTTATTCTAAGCTTCAGTAAAGTATTGCTGCAACTGCTCAGCACAAGTGAGGTCACATATCTGTCATCTTTCTGGCTTCTTCGTACAAGATGAGATAAATGGGTAACTGAGATGGAGTGCTGGAGCCCAGCAAGTACTGTTCAACCACCCTCTTCTCAGGCTTTTCTTCAGAGCTCAGACTAATGCAAAGAAAAATAGCACTTAACAGTCCTCCTTAGTTGACTTGATGGCATAATTGTTCCCTTTTAAAAAATAAATAAATAAAAGGGCAGTGCAGCTGGGCAGAGGAATGGAATGGCAGTGAAACTTCTAGAGTCTAGAAGAGAAACCCGAGATCAAAACTCCCCCTCCTGTGCCCTAACTACAAAGTTGTATTTTCCCAGGTTTTTAGAAGAATTTGGATATTCAGTTAGGGTGATTTGTGTCTTGCATAAATGGAATAAATTACAAAATGAGGAGTTGGAAAGGTGGGAATGAGTAACTCTTGGTGATGGGAAGCAGTAGGAGTTTTCACAAAAGCCATTTAGTAACTTTAATCCACAACAAGGCAACAAGGGAGGAACATTCTGGGTACAGGGGAAGCTTGGTTGAGATGGGGAGAATATGATGGGGAAAGGGACCTTCCTAAACAACCTAATGAAGTTAAAGCAGTTTTTCTAGCACTTCCTATGATTTGTTATTCTTTGAAGAGGGAAAGAATAGACAATGTATGCATTGTTCTTCAAGAATGTGAAGTTCACATTCTGCTGTAGAGAAGGCAACAGATGCTTTAAGATGGATCAGTGGGATAATCAATTTTTGCCCCATTTCATAATGCAATTGCTAACTACAACATTTAGGGGCAGTAGTAGATTTTGACGGGATCCAGAAAATTTGGGCAATCCAAGTATAGACAGAATTGCCTTGCAATCGCTTTCTCCCACCCCAAAAAGAGAAGGGAAATTTCGAGAGGAACAAGCAGCAAAATTAGGTGATTGAACAAAGGCTTAAGAGGTTTTTGAGAACTGCAGGCATCAACGCTCCCCGGGGATATGCCAGCTTTGTCTGCTGATAGCAGACCCTGGGAATGAACAGCCAAATTGCAGGTCACAACCTGGAATTCCCCAAGTACCTCCAGAATATCTGCGCTAAAATGACTCAAACTCAATAAGAAAGAATGTCAGATTTGACCCCTGATGGCCCAGTGGAATCGGAGCAAACAGTTGGATTTAAATCCAATCAATCTTGTCGGTAAGGTGATTGAACACCCCTTACAGCAAGGATTGTCCTAAGCACATGGACTTGGACAAGTAATTGATCTCTTCAGTACTCTACAAAACAGATGTCCTGCAGGGAGTTGTGGAAATGAGTTAAAAACTTGAGGAGGAATGTGGCTGCTGCTAAAAAGTCCTTATCTCCCTGTAGTATCCATAGCTGTACCATTACATATCAGGTCTCCATTACCATGATGTCTAAATACCTCTGAAATTCAAATGCGTAGTATCAACACAACATGGCCAGGTGACAGAGAGCTGACATTACCATCAGTTTCCAGATGAGAGGCTACAAGAAGGACTGATTGCCTGAGGTCTTGCGTGAAGCACGTAGCAGCGCAAGAATTTGAACGTAGGTCTGTCAGATCTGGGGTTATCACCAGCTGTATGTCCTCTCTGAGCCAGATGTGCTGCTGCTGGCAGCTAGGCTGAGATGGACCCACATGAAGTCTTAAGCGGAGAGGAGCTGTGCGTCCCTCCTGTCTTTAAACCAGAGGTCCCTAAAGTATGATCCATGAGCTACTCGGGTTCTGCAAGTCTCAGTATGTGGTCTGCAAAGGTGCCCTACACTTTACCTCTGTGGAACATAAGGGTATGATATTACAGAGGATCTTTGTTATGCAGCGAAATCCTGTGTTGTACCTGGCACAGGACCCTCCTTGAGCAAACATTTTGAGAGCCTGTGCTTTAATCTGTGAGAGGAAAGCGCTGTAGTGTTTGTGTCATTAAAGGGACTGAGCATTTTTTAAAGTTCTTTGCTCTTCAAAAAAAGCCCATCAAAAGGTATTTAGATTCCACCTTGTCCTGGAAATGGCAGTCCTTGTTCTCACCAGCCCACGGAGCGTGTGCAAAGTACCTGCGTTTGCCCAACACTTTATGCCAGTTCATGTACTTTAAAGGAGGTTTGTCAACTGGAGTTTTCTCCCCTGTACCAAAGTCAAATGCAAAACGGGAAAATGAACATGTGGGAAGCTCTTAACCTTTCCTGTCTAGCCATGACACACTTGCTCACATTATTTATGGGACAGTTCTAGCTATTTTGGATTAATCAATCACTCTATTACAATGTCAAAACTATGTCGGCAGGAACTGTGTTACTTCTTGGCTTCAAGGTAAAGGGTCCTTTCTGTCCTGTGTTGCTTATTTCCACTTTCACCCACACACAAGACCCATCTTGATGAGACTGTGCTCTTCAGTGGACACCAGGTTTAGTACAGGTCAGTAGTGCTCTTTCATCATGAATAAAGCAAACAGCATACGAGGCTAAATTAGGGGGAATAGGGCAAGGATATAAAGGAAAGTGTATTCTGCTCTGACTTGTGCTGGTGAAACCACAAATGGATCCAGCTTTGGATTCCCAGTCAAAGAGGGATGCTGAGAAACAGGAGGGTGTTCAGGGGGCTCCAGGATGGTTGGGGTCCCGAGCCCATGACTACAAGGAGAGAGCCAACAGAGCCAAACTCTTTTTAACAGTGGCAGGCAATATAAGGGGCTAATGGCCACAAATTGTGTCTTAAGAGGCTCAGGTTGGACGTTAGGCTCCCAGTGATGAAGTTTTTCTCAGCACTTTCATCCATCCCCAGTGAGGCTGTGGACTCTCACGCTCCAGGGATCTGCAAGACCCAGCTGCACAAAACCGTGACTGACCTGGTCTAGTGCTGCCTTTGAGACACTGGACTGCAGACCCCCAGGTGTCCCTTCCAGCCAAGGTCTCTGTCCTCTCCTCCCTTGTCTGTCAAAGTTGTTGCATATCAGAGTGGTTTGTTCTTGCTTTTTCCCCAGCTTTTTTAGTCTCTTGGCACTAATTCAGCTCTGCCCCCTCAGTTTCCAAAATACTGTGCTTAACTTGTGCTTTTAAATGTGTCAGTGGGGAGTACATTTAGCCACTTCATCTTTTCTATCATCAGACTTCTTCAGACTTACTCTTTATCCTCAAAAGTGCGTTGCACTTCTCTGGCATAGCTTCTGGATGACATATCCTTCTGCTCTCACCTCTTCATTCCTTGAGTCTTAGATTTCCCCTTTTTCCTTCCTTTTGAATTTCTGGAGCGCCAGTTAGGATTTGTTCTTTTCTATGGATGTCAGTCTGAACACAACATTCCTCTGAGCCCTTGAATCAGTTCCTGTTTTCAGGATCTTAAATTTGAAAGCCCTTATAGCCTCTAAGCCTGCCTGTCTATAAAGTTAAGTGCACAACACTCGCAGATTTCATTGCAGTCGGATTCTCGGCTTCTGTCTCCAAACCTGAGGTTGTTTCAGGGCTTGGTTCCAGGTGGGTTCAATTCTATTCTGTCTTCATCTTTTTATTATTTTTTTTAAATTTCTGTATATATGCTTAAATCTGGGCAGACAGTGCTTTTAGAGCTAAGTTGTAGGCTCACGCGAAAAACAAATGTCGCTGTGAAGTATGAATGAGTCTCTCATTCATTGCAGCAAGAAATGCTGCAGCAGTTACTACTGTAAATATTAAAGTTTCCTTATCAGCATTTAAAAAAAGGGACCCTGCCATTGCTGACGGGTACCAGACCTGCCAGCTTAAAACATGAAGTTCACAGCAAAACCTCCTTGCCCCTTTGTCCTTCCAACCCAGGTCAATGCAGTGTCCAGCTGTTGATGAGCGTTTTCAGAGTGAGCCCTGAGCATGAAACCATGGTTTATGTGGATATAAAATCACAACCTCTGTGTCTATAAATGACTTTTAAGTCCAAAGCATTGGTCTTTCCCTGCCATTGCTAATGAAATATTTGTCTGTTGTCTTCTGTCCCACAGCAGTTTTATGGTGCTTTTATGTTGCATCAGGCATAGAGTTTGTTGCTGCCCTAACCCTTCTGTTTGTGCAGCCAGTTTCACCGTGAGGAAACATCAGCAGCACTGAGCCTTTCTGAAATTCTCACCAGAAATGACTAAAATCCAACTACCTGCATGCGTTGTCCTTTTATTCCTTTTACTTATAAGTGTCATAATCATGATTTGTAAAAGTCATTTCAGTGAACACTTAAACACAGTGAAACTGTCTGTCTGTTTTATTGAGATTGTTAGTTCCCCGAGACAGAAATGGTGTTCTCTTCCAGTATGACACCAAATAGGAGGTCTATGCTTAGTGACTGATAATGATACAATTAATGTTGCAATAATTTTTTTCTCTCTTTTTGCAGCCCCAGGCTGTCCAAACTTCCTGGTTGGGTTTTGAAAGATGGAAGCACATTTCTGGACAAGGTACTGTAGTGATGGGTACAATTTTCTTGCCATGCAAAAAACTACCTGACAGGTTAAGAGCTTGCACTGCAGGAACAGTACTTCCATGCTGACTCATCGCAAAGGTTTCTGTGTGTACCCTTACCAGCCGTGATGTCCTTGTAGAGCAGAACGTTTTGAAACAAAATGCTAATAGCAACTCTGAGGCTTTTGGTCTTCAGAGGTAGCCTGGCTTTTTAAAAACTCCTCTTAAAATGCAGAAATCATCAGTATGAATATTTTTTTATTTCACAGAGGTCTATAAATAATAGTGCTTTGACTTCTTAAAGTGCCTTTTATTCAACAGTCTCACTTTTCTGACACTAAAGCTTCATAGCATGCTTATAAATGAGGTTGGTATCATACCCTTTTTTAGGCAGGAGAACTATGAGAAAGTGAATGGTTTGCCCGTGGGAGGTTTCTTACAGAGGAAACGCATGTCTTTGGCCTCTGAAATCAATATGTGTTCTGCTGCTGGACATAGCAGGGAGGATATTATCTCCAGCCTCCTAATTCCAAAACACAGGACTTACTCAGCTACATGAGAGACACGGAGTTTTTCTTTTTTCCCCTCTTTTAATTACATTAGTTTTGTAGGGAGAATTTATCTGGGGCTTCATCCAAAACTAGGCACTGCAGCATCCAGCTTGATGTGCCATAAGGGAACAATGAACGCAAAAATATGTCAGATGTTAGTAAAATAGGCAGATCTGTTTCAAATGTGTGCAACGATAGGTATCAGTACAGAAAATACTATTTTAATAGACTGTTCTCTGCCTATGTGAACATTAAAGGAAAACAGTAATAATAGTTGCTTTTGTAGAGGACTTTGAGGTGGACAAAATGGATTGATTTGATTTGTACAGGCAAGGGAGCTGAAGATCATAGATTAAAGACCTGATTTTTCTTCTCATTGGAGACAAAAGAAACTGTATAGGCAGCATTTCTGTTAGTAAAATAGTACCAGCTCTGTTCACAGCACATGGTAACTGGCAGTCACAGAGCTACAGAGGCTTAGGGACAGGACTCAGGGACAGGAATGGAGTTGCCCGGTTTGAATTCTCTGGAATTTGTTTCTCTTGAACCCTTGCCTCTGTCTCAGAGCTTTGGGCTCCATTCTATCCCAAAAGCAGATCGGCTATCAGTGTATTTTTATATCTGGTGTATTCCCATTTCTGTGGTACTGCTGCTGCAGGAGAAATATTCAAAGTCACACAGCATCAATGGAAATCATGTGTTAAAAATTCAAAGGCAGCATCTCTTACCTTCACCTTGACCGTTGTAACTGCTTGGAATGGTAAATTCTTTGACCCATGCTGGAAAAAGGCACGGGAAGGAGTCAAAGGGGGATGTTTTATCATGTCAGGTGGACATTCCTGTTATAGCCCTCTCTGGATGACAGTTATAAAACTTAAGTCCTGGAGAGGCTTTGAAATTTGCTGCGATCTAGTTTTAATCATTTTGAACTCCCTTGAGATGAGGTTAGGAGACTTCTGCCACTAGATGTAATTGCTCATTCGTTATGAGTTGGCAGGTGCACTGTAATTATTAAGAATGGGATTCAATCTTTAATTCTGTCAGTCTGAAGCTGGCTGAGACCACTCGCTTTGGGACAGGCAAGAGAAGCATCCACGAGAGAAGGCAGAATTGGTGCTAGGGAGCCTGTGAGGTGTGTTAGGACTACAGTTGGGAATATTTTTGTCCCATACATGATCTGAAAGAATGGGATTTTTCATGTGACAAAGATTTCTGATGTCAGCCTTGAACAAAGAGGAAGAAAATAGAGAACTAGAGATCCAATAGAGATAAATCTAACAAAAAGTGCCACGTGGAGCTTAAGTCCCCAAAAAGTTTTTCATCAAATGCTCTGAGACAGAGGCTTAAATTGTATTCTGCTTCTAATAAGATATAAAATGTTTGATGTTATTTGGAACCAACACTAAATTCCAAACTCTTAAGATAGCCAGGGCACTATAAAGGTGCTGTGCACACCCTCCAGGTCAGGAGAGAAGCACTTCCAGTAGGAGTGGTCTTCATGGCTCACTTTTCAGGTCATCCTTTACTTCTGATCCTGATAGAATAAGCTGCCTCATCTCTCATGAAAACAATTTCAGCAGGTCTGGTTACAGCAAATTGTGTCTAGAAATGGAATAAACATAATGGAGTGACGGGCTGGAAATTACCTGTGATAAAGAAAATGTTTTGAAAGTGCAAAATCTGCTGCATTGGAATAACATTGTATTGTATTTTTGTGTCTCCTCTGTTGATGTGCTTTTCTCACAGGAACTAAAGGAGTGCTCTGGCCATGTGTTTGTAGACTCGGTGCCTGAGTTCTGTTTACCAGAGGTGAGTTTATTCAATCCTTATGGAAAAACCTGACTCCATTCAATCACGGGGAGAAAATTGCTAAGTAATTATTATCAGATTCATGCTAATTTATTACTACTCAGTAAATAACACTACTAAAACCTCTGTGTTGTGAAGGTGCCTCTAGTACCTGTGAAACAGCCCTTTTCAACAATGATTTTGGGAGGTCTGGAAGGTCTCCTTGAGCAGATCAGTATCTCACAGAAGAATAAGACTTAACTGTTCCTTTTTGTGGGCCTTCCAAAGACAATATGAGTGAGCTGGACTTGATTATGACAGGATACACATGCTAATCTAGATAAAGGCTATGAATGAAGACAAGGAAAGCTGCTTCTCTAACCACAGAGGCCTGACCTGCCTGGTGGAGCTTCTCTGGGGAGCCAGCCCTGTGGTTAAGCCACTGTTTGATTTAGGTTAAAAAGTTGTGCTGCCTTCTTAGCTATTCATCACTGCCTCTTTGAGGGAAGAACTGAACCTTCATATCCACTGATACAACTGCAAGTAGCTGCTTCTCAAGCTGTTGGTTTTTTTTCAAGAATACCTGATTTTAAAAAAAAAGAAAGTAAGTGGGGAGCCAGCCCTGTGGTTAAGCCACTGTTTGATTTAGGTTAAAAAGTTGTGCTGCCTTCTTAGCTATTCATCACTGCCTCTTTGAGGGAAGAACTGAACCTTCATATCCACTGATACAACTGCAAGTAGCTGCTTCTCAAGCTGGTTTGTTTTATTTTCAAGAATACCTGATTTTAAAAAAAAGGAAAGTAAGAAAGTGTTTGAATTAGTTGGGCTTACCTGACTGGTCGGATGAATGGTGTATGTAGGAAAGCTGGAGGAGTAAAAAGCTGAGCAGGGAGTGGTGGGGGAATAGTATGGGGAATAGTATGGGGAATAGTATCCTCTTTGCTCGGACTGTGGTAACATCAGTTCTTTCAGTTCACGTTGGGGTGTTTTTTCTGTCTTTCAAAGAGATGATTGCTTTTGGGCAGTGATTTTTTTTTTTCCCTTTCTGCCTGACCTTGTTGACAGAAAGTACAAAACACTCCTGGAAGGTTGTTGTCAGCTTGCTGGGGTTCTGGCAACAGCATTTCTGTCTGTTGTTTTCATGAAACACACCTCTTACAGCTTCTGGCTCTTGTCATCTTGATTCATCTAGTTGGGAGCTCTGGAACTGTTTTTGGCAAGTGATATCAACAGATCTGTGTGCAACTGCTTGTTTTCCCTGACAGGAATGGACACACACACACACACAAAACCAAACAACAACTAATAATTCTGGGTTCTCAAGAGCTTTCTGGCTACTGTCCTGTGGAAGAGAGGGATGTAGGAAGTATATGTATGCCTAGAAAGTGCCATTATGCCCCAGATCTTGGGAAGGATGGAGTTCAGTTTCTGGATTCCCTTTGGAGTTGAGGCCATGCACAGGAATGATGATCTGTTGGAGTTTAGGGTGCTTCTCCTGGGCTTTCTGATTACTTTGTTGAGCTGGAAAATGCCCACATGTGTAGCTCTAAATATGGGGAGTTGCTGCTTCCTTATACCAGTGTCATCACTGAACATAACCCTGTTTCCCAGCAATCCATGTTACAACCAGAAGGCAGCAGAATCACAGAACAGAATCACAGATTCACAGAACGTTAGGGATTGGAAGGGACCTCAAAAGCTCACCCAGTCCCATCCCCCTGCCGGAGCAGGAACACCCAGATGAGGTTACACAGGAAGGCGTCCAGGCGGGTTTTGAATGTCTGCAGAGAAGGAGACTCCACAAGCTCTCTGGGCAGCCTGGTCCAGTGCTCTGTCACCCTCACTGAGAAGAAGTTTCTTCTCCAATTTCAGTGGAACCTCCTGTGTTCCAGTTTGTGTCCGTTACCCCTTGTCCTATCATTGTTTGTCACCGAGAAGAGCCTGGCTCCATCCTCGTGACACTCACCCTTTACAGATTTATAAACATGAATGAGGTCTCCCCTCAGTCTCCTCTTCTGCAAACTAAAGAGCCCCAGCTCCCTCAGCCGCTCCTCAGAAGGGAGATGCTCCACTCCCTTGATCATCTTTGTAGCCCTACGCTGGACTCTCTCCAGCAGTTCCTTGTCCTTCTTGAACTGAGGGGCCCAGAACTGGACACAATATTTCAGATGCAGCCTCACCAGGGCAGAGTAGAGGGGGAGGAGAACCTCTCTGACCTACTAACCACCCCAACATGCAGCAACCAGTTCGTATGTCACAAAGGAGAACCTCTCTGACCTACAACCACCCCAACATGCAGCAACCAGTTCGTGTGTCACAACTGTGGGGACTTTACAAATGGCCTCTCAAATGCTTCAGTTCCCAAAGTTCCCAGCAGATGCCAAGGCTCCTCTGCGAGCGCTAGGAGCAGATCCTGTAGTGATACACGGCACACATCTCTAGGTGCAATGGTTCAGATGTCATGGCCAGCAGAACGCATCAGCGGAGTAGAGACGTTGCTGGTGTTTGGCAGCACGGTATAAGAAGGAGCTTGTGTGAAAGAGGCTTTGTCTCCTTCCACGCCACTTCTTTTGAAGAAAGTTGTCTGCAAAAGTAGTTAGCTTGAGAAACACAGTATCACTTCCAGGAACACCATTGCCAAAGAAAGCAGAGTTTTGAATGTAATCCAGAAGCCACAGGGTGATAAGGGCTGTCTCAGCAGCAGAGTACGCTTCCACATGTCAGAGTGCAGGGTGCAGCCCTCTCTGCACTTGGCAACCTTCTTGTCTCTCTCACTTCACGTTCAGGAAACATTTTTAAACCTCTTCAGTTCAGAGGCACTTTTCAGTGAGATTGCCGCAAGTCCCAGGGAACATTTTACCTTGTTTTGGTTTTGACACCTTTTTCATCCTATTAGTAAATGCTTCTAGGATGCTGAGACGTGGATGCTGAAGCTTTGAGGGTTGTAGTCTGTATCTTCCTGATGGCTCACAGGGCTGAGTGACCTCCCCATTTGATTCTCTGTGGTATGGACACGGCTGAAAATTGCACCATGAAGTAGTAAGAGCATGGCAGGAGCAGGAGTCAACAGACTCTTTAGTACCACGCAGTGAGTGTATTTCTGCCTGGTGAGCTTAGTAAAATAAAAGGGTGCCCCATCATCAATCTGAGGGTGGCGTTTCACAGAATCACAGAATCGCTCGGTTGGAAAAGACCTCTGAGATCATCATGTCCAACCGTTCCTGTCTACCCACTAAACCATATCCTTAAGTACCTCGTCTACCCGCTCTTTAAATACATCCAGGGATGGTGACTCCACCACCTCCCTGGGCAGCCTGTGCCAGCTTCTGACGACCCTCTCAGTAAAGAACTTCCTCCTTATCTCTGACCTGAACCTCCCTTGGCACAGCTTGGTGCCGTTTCCCCTTGTTCTATCCCCCATCACCTGGGAGAAGAGCCCAGCACCCACCTCTCTCCAAGCTCCCTAGAGGCAGTTGTAGGTGGTGCTGAGGTCTCCCCTCAGCCTTCTCTTCTCCAGGCTAAACAAGCCCAGTTCCCTCAGCCGCTCCTCACAAGGCTTGTTCTCCAGAGCCCTCACCATCCTCATGGCTCTTCTCTGAACACGCTCCAGAATCTCAACATCCTTCTTCTTTCATCTGCTGTACTCAGCTTGGAGATCATGCCTCCAACATCAGCTGTGATCATGGACTGAAACCATGAACGCTGAACTGGGAGTTAAGCAGCTTGTCACCAGAGCACTGTGTCAGCCCTCTGAAGAGCCGAGTGACCTACTTTCTTGCCTTTTTTATTCAAATTGCTGGACCAAGCCTTGTAATCAGATAATATGTGCTTGATGAGTGTTGAATTCCATTAGCTGCTCTATAATAACTGAGTTAGAGGTCATATATCTTGTAAATTTCTGACTTGACACCGTTTCTCTTATAGCATTACCAGTAAATATTTCTAATTAAAATTCCTTTAACAATGTGTGAAATCTTCTTTCACTCTCTGAACTGCTGTCCTGACTGTCACATCAAAACAAGTTGGACCCACCCGCGTGTTTTCTTGTATCCCATGAATGAGCTTAATCTCCCGCTGCAGAAAATGTGAATGATAAAGATGCCAAGCATTTAGTTTGGGAAAATATGAGAATTATTTTAAGCAGATGAATAAATACAATCTACATACATCTCTCTCACTGTCCTTGGATACAGCACCACAAGCCACTGAAAAAATATGAGACAATCCTGCTAAGTCACTGCTGCAGAAGTTTTGGTGTCTGGGCAGTGTTTCTCCCTAAGGAAGCACACACAGTGGATTTTTGATAAAAGTGTAATCATCGTGCCTCTCTTAACGGCAGCCATTTCATTGCATGAAAGACAGACAGACACAGAACGTGGTTTTCTTTTGAGATCTGAGAAGGGAATAATTTTAGGGGGCTTTTAAAATAAATCCTGTTTAAGGGAAACATTAATCTTTGCCACAGCTAAGACATGCTCCCCCACCGTTTTTTTTAATGAACCAGTTAAATTCCTCCAACATAAAGTTTAAAAATACAAGAAGTTTTTCTGCCGTTGCTGAAACTGCATGAAAGGGTTACACGTTGCTTATCTCTTTCCTCTGTTTTCAGACTGAGCTGCTTGACCTCTCCACAGTAGATGTAATCTTGATCTCAAACTATCACTGCATGATGGCGTTGCCCTATATCACAGAGTACACAGGATTCACTGGAACAGTGTATGCCACCGAGCCCACTGTTCAAATTGGCAGGTAAAAGCCCCTTAATATTCTCAACTCCTCTTTCATCACCGCTAAGGAAAAGGTGTAAAGGACAATATGGGTAGAGGAGTGGTGTCTAATGTTCCGAAGAGGCTCTTAGGCAGTAGCTGAACGACAGCCAAGTCCTTAGTGCTGCAAATGTGTTAACTCAATGTTTCCCAACCTCTGGAACCATCTGTCTTCACCATTTACAGCAGGTGCTTTGTGTTGAGTCCAGGCAGTAGATGTGGGACAGTAGATCTTGAGTATAGCCAACTTCAGACCTTCAAAAACCATGAACTAAAGATCTCTCCTGCTCCTCTCTGCTCCCCTTAAACAAAAGAGGAATCACCAGTCTTTTCAGGAATAAATTACTTTGACATTATTGCCTTGTAGTTTTTCAACATTTGAAATTCATAAAATCACACTTTCCTCCACACCATGGAAGGGAATTTGAGCTGGTTTCATCTCAAATGATGGTTGAGATACATAAGCTCTGAACCCCAAAGAGAAGCACTGAGAAAAACAACAGAAATATGAGACTGAAGCAGAAAATGTAAGACCTGACAACGCAGTCAGAAACTTAATACTTGATCGTCAGATTTGGCAGTCTTTTCTTACAAAGTTGTCTGTTGATTGGACAAATCAATACCAAAGGCTGCAGGTTTGGCCCTCCGTGAAGTCCAACTGGACTTGTGCTGTGTGCATCTCCCATGCAGAGCGGCTGCCACGTTCAATAATTAGAAAGCAGATTAGGCTGTGGTATCTGAACTTCTCAGTAAGCACTTTGGGGCAGGAATCTTTGTGTATTAAAGGTCCTATGCAAACTTTCCACGCCAGAGTAATTCTCCCTTTGTGTAAAAACAAACAGAAACTGAAGGTCCTTGTAGGAGAAAGGAATTGTATAAATATGAACCTAATAGCAGAGCTCTGGGGTATTGCTGCCCATAGCTGAAGCTAACAAGCATGGTCTTGTTGGAGAGTATCCTGGTGTGCTTCTCCCCACCCCAACTCATTCAGATGCCATTCTTCTGCAGTTAAATCTGTCACTTCCTACCTCCAAGGGGCACCATGTATACAATTACAAGCGCTGTTTAGTTTTGGACAGTGAAACCTGTAGTGCCAGTTTTTAATGCCTGACATTTTTCTGTCTCAAATGCTGTGTTGTGCGTTTGTGGACGAGGAGATTTCACTCTGACAATGTGCTTGGCTTCTGCAAGTGATGAACAGGCATCACTTAATGAATTTTCTTCATATGTGCTGTTAATTCTGTGTGACAAGCACTCAGTAACATAGAAATTGTCTTGCACAGCAAGAGAGAGATTTGGGAGTTCCTCTTGTCCTGCCATTTTCCAGATAACCCAGAACCCAGTGGGTTGGGTCCTTTGCTGTCACAACCAGGCAGAGAGATTTGGACTCACCTGAGTTTGATGCGCTCCATGAGGAAACGAGTGATGTTAGTGAGGGGTAGTTGCTGTGAGGAGAACCTCAATTTGTGTGATATTTTGGAAACGTTTGGGCTAATGTTTTCCTCTGTGAACGGCTGCAATACTGATTCAGTTCTGGTGTCTTTTCAGACTTCTCATGGAAGAACTGGTGAACTCCATTGAACGGGTGCCAAAGGCTCAGTCTGCCTCCATGTGGAAGAACAAGGAGGTACAGAGGTAAGGAACAAACCCACTGGGAAAGGGTGACTGTCCAAAAACACTTACCAGTGTTTAGAATTCACTGTAACGATGGCTCAGCTGCCACCAGTTGAGATTGCTACTACCACAAGCAGAAAACAAAAGCCAAAGAGGTTTACAGCGATGACTTCTTGCATTGGTTCTTTCTTTAATGATTTGCACGTTGTTATATTTCCGAACAACCACACAAGTTTGACTCCTGGAGGATGGCTTGATAACACAAAAGTCTTCCCTGATCTCCTCTCACATAGTTTAGCTCCGTGATGGAAGATAAAACCAGCAGATTTTTGTATTAGCATCATAAAAAGTTGCTGAAATTAGCAAAGTTAATTATATTGCATTGGAATAATTGTCATTTAAAATTATATTTGCATTTCATGTTTGCTGAAATGCTAAGGAAGTCAGGACACAGCTGTTGGAAGTCACTGGTGGCCAACCCCAGAGCAGTGCTGCCTTTCTTCCCAGGGCTGCAGCCTCTTTTATGCTTGGATGACAGAGGTGGTTTTTTTACTTTCTTTCAAAGCTTAGAAACAAATTGAAATTTGAATAAAAAATGGTCAGTTGGAAACTCCATGACCTTTATTTCGTCTTTATGTAAGAACAAGGTGCTCAAAATTAAGATCTTCTCCATCTAAAATTTTGAAAGCCTATATAGTTTTAAAATGATCCATACAGTTTATAATTGCAGATAATGCTTTCTTTGGAAAGAAAAAGAATTTTAGTGCACACCATGTTCTATGGAGGAGCCAGTTTTGTTTTTAGCACATACTAAAGATAAGGCTGGTTAATTAGAAAGTTATTTTTAAAAGCTACTTTGTGCATTTTTAATTGATCTCCCATTTTCTATTCCTAATTCTTGACGTGGCTTGGTTTAAAAGTTTACTAAAAATTAATTCTTTCATACATTATAAAAGTAGTCTTGACATTTTCCAATATCAGAAAGCAAAGGAATTAAAAATCCAAATTAACATATGTTTAGCTATATATTGTGCTCCCCTGGTGAGCTTAGGAGCAGCCTTATCTCAGCGCTGTAACTCTCACTCTTCTGAAGAAGGCAAGTAAAACACAGATGTAAAACAAAGCCAAAGACAATAAAGTTGATCAAGATTTTTGTGCTGGTTAATAAATATTCATATATTTATGAATTATTTATGATTCAATATTACTGTCATCAGAATAGTGGTGGATGTTTTTTAATTTTGGAGTCCGCTGGCCTGACCAGAACCACTCCTGAAGCTCACAGTGGTGTGAAGAGCGAGGACCGGAGCCATTATTCTCGTCACACAGCTGCATGTGTTTTGTATGCATGGTTTAGAGGAGGATCATATATCTCAGAGCTCATTTAATGTCACTTTCCTGGTGGTCGTATTTTAGAAAAAGTGCTGTCTGGCACTTTGTGTGCTGTTGACTATTCCAGAGGCGAACACGAGAGGTGATCTTTGTTCGGATTCAACTGCTGTAGAAGGCAAACAGGTTCTTTGTTGGAGTGGTGATTAAAATACATTTTTCTGTCTCATTTGCTTGGGAAGTGCCCCAACACTGACACTTCCTCCTTGGTACTCTCAAGCAGCTGTTGTAATGGGGTACCAGTCGAGGTAGGAGGAAGATGTAAGACCTCACCCCCAGGGATAGACAGGACCAACCCTTCTGTCCCGCTGCAAGACCTCTGTAGAGCACAGAGCACTGCCACAGTATTGTACGTTGTTGGGATCCTTGATCAGGTGGCAGATCCCTCAACTTTCACAAGTAAAATACACACCTTGCCCAAATATTAGTTAAAGGCAAAGCAAAGAAATACTGTGCTAGTGGGGACAGCAAAACGTACCCAGTAGTAACTGTTTAGTAACATAAGTCTACGTATCATAAACTCTGCCGTGATGGTTGTACGAGCCAGCGTTGTTTGAGCTGGAACAGGGGGACAAATCTGAATTCCAACTGTGCCCCGCTGTGCTCCGAGTTTCCCCCTTCAGCTCCCTATGCTTGTGTAAAATGGAGCCCCTATCTACCATAGAGGGTATACAGGGACTTAATTAATGTTTGCCAAGTGTTTTGAGATTCCTGGTGACAAGTGTCACGCAAGCGTGAATGGAACTGATTATTATAGCATGTGAGCAAACATCTACTGATCCCCAAATTAACACCTGGCTAATAGCACACGCAGGGTTGGACTGACATCCGTTATTTAAGAAAATGTGATCCTTGGTGAATTTGTTTTTGGATATTTGTCGGTTGCTAGAGCAGAATACTTATTACTTCTGAGTCTAACTTTAATTTTTCTGGCTGATCAGTCACCATTACTGCTTTACAGTTCAGCTAGTTCTACTCAGAATAGTTAGTATAAAACACAAAGTATTATCATCTTCATTAGATAAAGCACTGAAGCATTTTAAATGCAAATACTGTGTAAAATATAATAAGTTCATTATAGTGCCTTACGTTTTTCCATTATCAGATTCAGTCTGAACTAATTGCTTAGCAAGTTTTATTACCACTGGTTTTTATTTTAAATGAGCAGTCTCATGGAAGCTCTACACGTGCTCAACCAGGATATCTTTCATGCTGATTAGGATTCAGGGGGCTAAAGGGGAAGTTTGCCCTATGAAAGACACTTTGTCGACTCCCCGTTTGATGTTTTCATAGATCTTTCTATAAAGTGAGTCAAAGTATCCTCCAGTAACTTCCTGTATGGATTTTAAGAGCGTGAGTGATGGGTTGAATGCCAGCACGGGCACATCTGAGGAGCCAGCAGCCCTCATTGTCTCTGTGTGCCATGCCGCAAAGGATGATACCACTGGAGACTGGTGCCACTGGTTTCTGGTGGGGATCACAGGATATTTACAGCGTAGCCACAGAGTCAAGGCTAATAGAAACTTCCTTCAATCACCAAGGACAATTCCCCACTTTTCTCCATTACCTGGAGATATACTCTCCTCTTCCCAGAAGAGAAGCTCCTGAAAGCATCCTACACTAAATGCTTCTTATGGTAGGTTAAAGGCTTTTACAGGCAATTTGCTTCAGTGCAGTGGTGGACAACTATCCACATTGTTTGGCCTTTTGTTGCTTATGACTTCCCAAAAAAGACCTTGAACGCTTTGTTTGTTTCCTTAAGCGCGTTATGCTTTCAGCCGGCGTGTGCTGGAATTACAGTTATCGCACTAGACCTGTACAGCGATCTTGGCAATAGCTGGCCTTAATCCTTTCTTCAGTATCTTAAATTATGGAGGAGTTCACTGACCTAGTAGATATAACAATAAATTAAATTCCTTTAAACAAATTGATCAAAGAAACTTGACCAATTTCCATAAATCTTTGGAAATTGGTTTGAATTAGCCTTTGATTTAGCATTGGTTTAATATACAAAAAAAATCCTATTCTTCTTATGCATTTGGCAGCTGAGCTGCTTCCTGCCTCAGTTCATGTTGCTAAGGAAGATTTATTTCCCAGAAGTTAGCCATCTCTCTTACAGGCTGTGACATTACAGTTCACTTCTTCCCTTGACAACGCTGTCCAGCTAACTTGCAATTCTGGATGGATTTTACTTTGGTGTAAAACATTTTAAATACTTCCGTGTAGGGGATTTCAAAGAGCTCTGCAGTGTCAGCTAATGTATCCTTGCCAGCACGCTTGGAAGGCGAGTGGGGTATCTGATTTGAAGGCAAAGAAGCTGAGGTGCAGGGACGTGTTCCTGCAAGACACTGGTGACAATAATGAGAGCAGAGCCAGCCTTTGTTCATGGTCAGGTCCCTGCATTTTAATCACGAGATTGTGGCTTACTTTTGTTTTCAGATTCTTAGGATGTGCAAAATTGATGCTGATCCAAGATCCCAGTCATCGATTCTAGTGGTGCGTTTCATGTTAATATGTCAGATCAGCCAACATCTTTCATCAGTGGTGAAAATACCACAAGAGCTGCTATAACCCCTTCATCACAGCTCCTTCTTTGATGAAAGGGCTGCATAGGAGCAGCAACAGAGAGAGCTGAAGGAGAGCAGCCTTTGGAGTGCGGCAAAATGGGCAGCGTGGTTCAGCTCCTCAACAGGCAGAAAGTCTTGTGCCTCACTTTGAAGCACCGGGCATATTTAAAATAAAAAGAAAAAGGAGATAAAACTAAGATCTGGAGAATCTAAGTGGGAATAAAAGCTGATGGTCCATCAGGAAGTTCTGAAAACACCCAGACCGTGTTGATCTTTGCAGGTTGCTGCCCGCCCCTCTGAAGGACGCAGTGGAGGTGTCTATGTGGAGGAAGTGCTACACCATGCCAGAAGTGAATGCTGCGCTCAGTAAAATCCAGCTGGTGGGGTATTCTCAGAAAATTGTAAGTACCCATAAAGCTGTCTTCAGGTCAACCTACACTAACAACTTCTCATTTCCCAGCTTTTCTGTGGAAATGCCCTTCCTTTTCTATTTTACCCTCTAGGTCCCGCATAAGATCTAGTTACCCTAGCCTAGGAAAACAAGATTAAATTGCATGTCCCTCTGTCTGCATCCCACGAAGGTTCTTGTTTGGTGAAATCGGGGAGTATCCATTTGTTTCTCCTCTTCCTCAGGGAGGCCAATTTTAAGGCGGCATACCTGTTAATTTGGAGTGGATGGCTGCCCACTGAGAGCTGGGAGGATGCACCAAATGAGTGTATCCTCTCTGTCTGTAAGCCACATCCCCGTCTGAGTTACTGTATCTCACTTCTGGGAATCTTTTGAGTGCTTTAGCCTCCACTTTTTTTTATGCTGCAAATTAGGGATTGTAAACAAAACCTAATGGTTCGACCTGAACTTCAAAACCTCCTTTTCCAGCGTTCCCAGCTAACATTTGTTGTCTATAATGCTGCTGACTATAATCCAGTGCAGTTTCTAGAATAAACTGAACCAACAATTCTGTAGTCTGCACATACACTGTTCCTTTATGGCTTGTAGGCAGCGTGTGGGCCGTAATACCTGCTATTAAGAAATAAAAATGTGGGTTAAAGTAAGTTGTGTACCCAAAGCTTTTTATTTGCTTCCTTTTCTTATGCAATGGGCCACTATATTTTGGAGACTGCTGTTAACGAGTAAGTTTGAAAGAGTAGCCAAGGCTGCTGTCTACAAAATTTGGTGGATTTGGGTTTGTGTGGTGCTGGTGGAAAGAGACCCTGAGCCACCACTACCGTGGCTGCTGACATAAGTAACAACAAAGTATTAGCTTTGTTTAGCACCTGGGCAGGTTGAGGGCATTTGGATTTTCTCAGTATCCATGGGTGATTCCTGTTCAGTTTTGACTATCCTTACAGTGTGGATGCATCTCACCTAGTTTTAGATCTGTGCATCTGAGCTAATCATTCCTTTATGGTTACTGGGTAACAAAGAGGCAGAGCATGTTGAATCTCTTCCCAAAACAGACTTTTAAAATTATCAGACCTTAATTAGCCAATTAACCCAAACCAGGACAGCATCAAGAGTGGTTTGTTGTCCACTTTACGTGTCTGCGTATTAGCAGAATCTAGAGCCTTGGTTTACACACTGTGAGGGATGGAGACCCTGTTTTGTTTTGCAAGAGATCCAAATATGTACTGAGATACTAGAAAAATCATTAGTATTGCATGAATCAGATGCTTGTTCTATTATTCAGTAACCAGAAAGTAGATCACATTAGTGAGATATACATGCAGGCTTACTTTCCTTTCTCAAAACAACTCAAACACATTACTGTGTACAGATAAAGAAGGCAATTTCTGATGAGGCCCGGAAAGGAGACAACTGTCAGGCTGCTTATGCTTAGAGTCAAAACTAAAATTTGGATTACGTTTATAGTGTTGTTTCTAAATCACCAGTAGACAGCATTTAAAAGGAAATGAAGTTAGAAAATGAGTGAGTCTGAAGTTAAGCTTATGTTTTCCACAGCAAAATGTGTAACCCAAACAAGAGTTTTATATCAGTACAGAACTACTTGTCCTTCCTTCTCTCCTGCTGACCCATGTCAATAAAATTTGGCGAAGGGAGTATCGAGTTTTCAAAGCTGTAAAGCTCCTACAAACTTCGTCAATACAGCAAAGACAGGCAGAGGATCAAGACCCAGGCTGATTCCTCCATTCAGTGTCACGATTCAGTGTGAACTCAGTTGGATGCCATAGAATTCACATAGAAGAGAGACTTGATGAAGGCCCTACTTCAGGAAAAGCTTTTCTCGGAGCATGTGTCCTGTTAGACATGGTTAAATAAAAACAGGAGACATAAAGCTTGGGAAAATAGCTTCGGAAAGGCTTTGAGTAGCAGAAATACTTTAAATTGTTATCACAGGTGATAAAATTATTCTAAAATGACCTGTTCTGACTTCTCTTGGGGGCTCGCTGAGGTTAATGTCTCTTGCTGTGTGTTTCAGGAGCTGTTCGGTGCTGTGCAGGTCACCCCTCTCAGCTCAGGCTACGCTCTTGGAAGTTCCAATTGGATTATCCAGTCACACTATGAAAAGGTTTCCTATGTTTCAGGATCTTCTCTGCTTACAACACATCCTCAGGTACAGCCGCTGACTTTTGTTAGTCTTCTACAGGGGAAAGTGTCTGTACACACACAAAAAATAGCAGGGCTTAATCCAGCTGTAGTACAGAAGCTGTACTAAGGTACCTCTTACAGCAGCTGAACAGACTTAATGGTCATTGAGAAAACAAGTAT